CAACCGATGCTAAAGCTGAAGCAAGCTTCTTCATACCTCTACGCCACGTCATGGTCTGACCGCCGAGCCGCTTCTTCCAGCCTTGTCCGGTACGTGCAGAGAGCACAGAAAGGTAGTCAGTGGGTAGGCATACGCAAAACGTGATCAAGCCATCAGAGGCGGTATGGAGCGATTACTTCCGTTAGAGAACGACTATCCGCATCCAACACGAAGGACCTGATCATTACTCACCCGGTGTTCCCACCAGACACGAGCAGTACTTCGGAGACATCGGTGGTCGAATACAGAAAGCCGATTAGCATGCTCAACGCGGAGAAGCCAGGTCTCGCAACCGAGAATTAGACCGCTAGGAACCGCGGCGATGTACACCCTAGCTTTAAGGGACAGTTGAATGTCATGGCGGCGCCACAGGTGTCGCAGGTTGGCGAAAGCTGCTCTAGCTTTTGCTATTCGTAATGTGATCTCCTCCCCAACACCAGCACCAGCTGCGATCAAGCTCCCGAGGTACTTAAAGCTCTCAACTACTTCCGACTGATCACTACAGAGGGTGAGTGCAGGCTGGAAGGAACTCGACTATACCGTTTGCTAGACCGGACAAAGCATTCTGTGGAACATCCTTTGTGACAAAGTTGAAAAGCAATGGGGGTATAAGGCAGCCTTACCGAACTCCACTGGAGACGGCGAAGGGTGGCGAAAGTTGGCCATAGGCCCTAACCCGACCTGAGGTATGACGATACAACTCTTTGAGGATCGACACATATTTCTCAGGTACTCCACTCTTCAACAAACAGTTCCATAGTGCGATCCTATCGACAGAGTCGAAGGCCGCGCGGATGTCTAAGAACACAATGATTGTTGGTCTTTGGTAGGTATGACGGTGCTCTAGCAGTTGTCAGAGGGTGAAGATTTGACCGATGCATCTACAACCGGCACAAAACCCAGCCTGCTCCTCACACATAGTGTACAATCGGCGGAGAATGACGGACGCCAACAGCTTTGACGCTATTGGGATAAGGTCGGTGCCTGTGAGTTAGCAGTTTCAGAATTTCATCACCACAGGAGGCGTATCAGAACGGTAAGCAAAGGTTAGGGAAACAGATGATGCGAAATTTTCAATTAAAATTTTCATCATCATCGTAAAACGAAGCGAAGAGACTGCACCCTGGCTTGGTGTGACATGCTGCAATTGTGACCTAACTACACTGAAGTCGAGACAAAAAATAGGTCATTCTTGGAAGGTCGAAGTGTGGAGGCCACGGATTAGTCTCCGGATTCTCCAGGTGGAGGGTTCACTGAAACTGGTGTGTCAGTAAAAGCGATGGAACAGTAATCGATTCGTGGGTGGGCCTGTGATTCGCAACATCCTCTGCTTTGCGGTCAGGCTTGTCAGAACTGAAGGCCTTGAAGAATAATGCCTTCTGTCTTAAAGATTCATCTCTCTAGCGATACCAGATCACATTGAGACCCACGGAACACTAAAAATTATAGCTATGGCCTGCAAATTAACATTAGAATACCAGGACGATGTGTGACGATTTGTGGATTAGAAAGAGCAGATGACTGAGACTTCGTTTTCGGTTTGAAACCATTATATTTCAGCATCTCTAGATGTAAAGCTGCCCATGGAAAATCTACCAGCCCCGAATACTGGCTTTTCGCTCTTACCCTTCAGTGAACGCCGTCTGCACGAAAAGGCAATGAGGACGACCTTCAAGTGGAAGAAGATACACCAGACGAGAGTAATTCTTAAAGTGGGGAAAACCTCACTCGGTCTACCAGAAAACGGGACTTTAAAGGTGCGCAAATATCTTGTTTGTATTTCATACGTCTAGATCTAGACTGCGTGCCAAACAAATCACAACACAAGAACACTTTCCACGATCTGTTTGTAGGCGGAATGCTGCCAAGTTGCCCATGCCAAGACAAGTACATTTTCTTGAGGAATTCACAGCCTGAGTCTTTGGCTAGCCAAAGCCTGCCCCACAGAGCAGCAGGGCGGTGTGTGAAAACCGTAATCCATTGAAGGCCGGGGTCCAGTTCATCGGATCTTGGACCCTTTGGATGGGGTCAAAGGACCAAAGTGCCCAATACACCTCGTCCCCCCAATTAAACTGATGACCACTGCCACAGCCAGGGTGTGGATGAGCGTGGTTCGTACACCTCTTCTTGGTTGGTTTGGAACCAGGGTTTTCAGTCAACTCCCCTAGGTAAACTACCAGTGGTTCACCGACCCAGTTATAGCCCCGGACATTGGCTTTTCTTCCCCTCCCTTTCGTGGGAGAACACCTCCGCCACGAGGTAATGAGTAGGGCCTTCTTAGTCTGTCCTGCGGCTCAACCCCTCTGTCGAAACTTTGTGTCAACATATGAACAATCAACCTACATGAAGTCATATCGATGATTTTTCGCACCTCCAAAAGTACAGAACTGTTGAATATACTATTTATTCTGTATTTTCTCTAACCTCTAGTGCCGCTATCTTTAAAAGTTTGAATAAACGGGCTGTCTCAGTTTAAATGTTTTCTGCGCTACGTCACTCTTAGCATTTTACCAACCTATTGAGTATACTTCTCATGTGTCCTATTCGTGTACCATAAAATCGATGAAATCAAGGGGATTTTGAGCAAGGAAAAATGAATCATCTTCACTAGACAATGTAAGACTTACTACACAGATTCAGGACTTCTTCGAGAATGATCCAAAAGACCAGTAAGTTGGCCAGTCGTTGGATCTATTAGAGCATCTCCCGCGTTAAGTAGATTGTGCACTCCGAGAGAACCAGGCCAGTTATCAGCTAGCCCACTAAGGACCGGAGGTGGTACATTGAGGTTGGGAAACACACTGCTGCTCGAACCCGTTCCAGCAGCAGCATTTGCTGTGGTCAAAAGTTGGGCAGCCCCACCTGCAGCTAGCGCTGAAAATCCCGGTGGGGGGACTGCAAACACACCAGTTCCTGTTCCACCTGTCGAATTACCGGATCCGCCCAGTTGTGCAGCTCCGGGAAGGTAGCCTGGTGGTGGTTGGGTAAACTGACCCAGTAAGCTCGACGAATTGTTGGTACCGCCATTAAGTACGGTGGACTGCCCATCGACCGATTCCTTCTGACCCAAAAGACCCTGGCCGGAGGAACGATTAGTGACGTTACTCAGATTGATTACGTTAATGCTGGCCTGTTTGAAGTTGTCGTAAGATCGAATTCCCGTGCTCGCACCACCAGTACGCATACGTTGCAGTAATCCTGTCCCACCACTACCCAGGACAGGCTTTAGAGTAGCATTGGCATACTCCTGACGAAGAATCTTCTGTTTTTCACAATACTGGATCCAAGTTTCTTCAGTAAATCCGTAATTAAAGTAGTCCGTTATGTCTGCACCAGGGCGTTTCCATGGTTTATCCTCCTCACCCAGAGTGGAAAGACTGAATTCGATAGTCGGTACACCATGAATGTCTCCTGGGTCATCAAGTTCTATGCCCTGACGAGTACCTTTTGAATCTGAAAGAGAAAATAATGAGATGAAAACTAAAAACCGTGATACTCAATCAATAACTTATTGGAAACGCATCTACACGACACTCGCAAGGTGATTTTATTCTGATATTCTGATGAGCATCCGCGTTCGAAATTTGACCCGTGAAGCGGAATCGACGGGATGACCTACTGATACCCGAGTTGTTTCCCAGTCGCTGATGAGCAGAAGACATTCACACACTTGACCTGGTAGGCATCTGAATTTAAAATTGACATCAGTTTTCTACACCACGTCATTTTTGAGACAATCTGAAAGTCAACCACACTGAATATTGATTAGAGATGTGCATCGCTCTACAAAATGCCACTTTTAACACGAGTATCTAAACACTTTCTGATGATTACATTTCAGTACCATATAAACGTGAAAGCAATGAGTCCGTTTCACTTCAACTGAACGCACAGCAAGAAACCATGGCACGTCAGTAAGGAACACAATAGCAGGTGCAGTATAATGAATGAAGTGATCATATCTCTCGGCTGGTCGTGTCTCTGACAAAATATAGATTAGTGAAACCACCTCTACTGACATTAATATATCCATTTTCTACGTGTTTTTACCTGAATACTGATAAAACCCTAACACAATTTTTTTTATTACACAAAGTGAATTACAGTAAACGGGGAAATCCTCATGAGCAAATAGCATATTGTAGGGGGGAGAGTAAGGGAACATTCACGTAAGGTCCAGTTTATTGATTCTGCTTTTAAAAGGTGTAAGATTGTAAGTTGAGGGGGAGGGGAACAACAAGGGGGAAGGTGTTCCACAGTTTGGCAGTTCTGGGGAAAAAAGAAGATTGGAGTAGAGAGGTACGACATCTGGGAACAGAAACCTGATAAGGATGACTAGATGCCGGTGTACGGGATGAAAGGGTCAAAGTTGCAGGAAGAGGAACTGCCGAGGCAAGTTCCGAAGAACAAAACCCAAAGTAGTAACGGTAGGAGAGGGACAACGAAGCAACTGCCTGACGATGGGCTAGCGACTGTAGACTGGATGTTAGGGAAGGATCATCGATTGGTCGGATGGCCTTTCGTTGAACACGATCAAGAAGGGAGAGGGAAGGAGACGAAGCCCCACCCCACACGTGACTACAGTATTCAAGAGCAGGGCGGATTTGAGCTTTGTACTGTTAAGTACTGAATACGAGACGACAACAGTCGGTGGTTGCTCGGGAGAGAGAGAAGATTGAGAGCCCAGAGATTTAAGGCTTTATTTGTCTAACAACTCTGGCATATAGGGTAAAACGTATAAAAGAGAAATGTTATGAATACAGCGATATGCAGCAGACAAAGAGTGTTATACACGACATGTACAATAGAAGATGAGCTGGGGTGAAAAAACGTCTGGCGCGAAATAGAAATCCGACCTTGCGCGCAGCACGAGAAGCAAGCTTAGCTACGAAAGGAGACCATCATAAAGAAGAAGTTATAGGCAGTCCAAGAAGGGAAACAGAGTCTGTGGAGCGCAGTTGGGTGGAATCAAAACATAAATGGGGGGAAACCGAATGGTGTTTTAGAGAAATTGAAAGAGATGTTTTAGGACTATTGAACGAAACGTGGTTCGCAATGCCCCAGGAGATGTGTTCGAGACCGGAGTCCAGTGACACATTAACTGCGCTACGGTCACCATCAATGTTGGTTTGGGCATGGCGAGCAGTGCGGTAGGAGAGAGAGCAGTGGAGGGTGGCGTCATCAGCAAAAGAAT